TAGAATTCCTCCACAAAATTCCTCTTTCCCCTTCCAAGCAGAGAAGCTCCTGTACAATTCACCATGACAGACTCACAGTACAGACCAGCTTGCATCACCCCGGAAGTCTACTGAATCTACCTACACGAGGCTAGTAACATCAACAGTGAAGGAGGACACAGTAATTGGGACAGGATTTTAGAATCACTGCCCAGATACAAGCTAGGTTCCCTTACATGAGAGTTCAGATCTGGGTGACAAGCACTGTGGTAAATTAAAAATTCAGGAAGACTCAAAGATCCAGATTCAGGGACATAAAACATTTCCCTGTGTGGACACACACATTTAGAGAGCTAGGGAATTACAGCTTGGAAATCCTTTTCAGGCCTGGATTTCTCCTGACTCTCAGGTCCATTCCCAGGCTGACAAGCTGACTACAGCTTCAGTTAGGGAGGAAGTCTCCCAGGGTGATAATATGATGAAAAACAGAGTGGAATTCATAATAAAGATTAATACCTGGTGTCTTTCCTGTGGGATACATCCTGAGGTACTGTCCCAAGGATGTTTCTCCCAATTGTCCAATGAACTACTCTCCTGTCCTAGCTGCACGTAACACACTTTAAATACAGGTTGTCCGTACAATAAAGTTGGCCTTTTTTCCCCAAAAGAGGTCCGTGTGTGTTGCTGTCCTTTCTCTCTCTTTGCAGCGCAGTAACCACATCGCTGATTTCAAATACATTGATCTTGGCACCATAAATTGGACAGCTAATGTTAGAAGTTACCTTATACACTGCTAACTGGGGATGCAGGGCTAAACCATGGGATGAACACAAGGAGCTCCATTCCAACCAGATCGAACACCACGTTGTTTTGGCTTTTTGCCAGCTCTGGTGAGCCTTCTGTCCCTGTGTCTGATGGATGAGGCTCAGGCCCCTGCCCTGCCAAGCAACCTATACCATCTCAGGAAAGTTACATGCCTTCTCTGAGTCACCACAGCCTCTGAGGAACACTTGGCACATGATGAAAACCTGCCCGTGCACTCCTCCTCATCTTGATTACAAATGGTTTGGGTTTCTTTTAAGAAGTTCCCCAACTATGATATGTCACACCTACAGTCATGTGAGAACACAATACACATGGCTTCAAACCAACTGTAAGCAAAGTTTGGAACTGTACCTAACAGGATTGCTGTGTCATTGCTGTCAGGAGGGTGTAGAGGAAGAGGTGGGTGAGCAGCCTGGGTGGAAGGAACTGTTCCTTTTTTAAAACATTTGGAGCAATACATCTATGTGCATTCAGTGTGCTGTCTCAGAGAAGTGAGTCCATCCCACACAATTGGTACTGCCTTTGGAAATCTCCATATGACCAAATCCCCAACCTTCTTCCTCTCTGTGGTGTGACAGAGCAAGACCTTTGCATGTTGCTTTTCCTTAACTGCATCCTACTATTTTGCTTCCCCTCTCTCTCATACTCCCCATTCTCACTTCCCCTCTGAGGAGGTCTGGGGCTTGACCTAACACCACACTGAAAAGCAGCTCATACTTTGCAGCCTCTCACCCATTTTTGGCTGAGTGAAGGCTGATTTGGCCTGGACATGATGGCAGCAAGCTTCAATACAGTTTCCAGAGCCAAGTGCTGGGAAGAAGCAGCTTTGCCTTTACCCTGTTCCCTCGGGGCCATTGGGACTGGTGAGAGCAGGCTGGGCCATGGCTCCAGCTCTGTGCTCAGGAGGAATGTGTGAGTAGCACCCAGATCACACCCCTAGCCCTTGCCCCTACCCTGCCCCCTTCAGCAGTCATCACGGAATGAGAGGGGAACAGAAAAAAGGAACAAATACTTGGCAATACTGCAACAGCACTCTCTCCTAGCTGGCAGGACTTTGTCATTCAGGGGTTTTTAGCCTGGTCAAACGGGCTATTTTTGGCTATATACATCAGGAATCGGCACAAAGGACATTGCACCCTGCTTACTACTTCCCCAGCTGTGAGCCCTGGCTGCAAGCTAACTCCAAGGCAAGCCAGTGCACATCCCCCAAATCCTCCACCCTTAGGTCATCCCAGAGACTCCCCAGTCTGTACCAGGCAGCCACTCCCTCCCCCTCCCCTTGGGCTCACGGAGCAGTGGTCACACAGCCCGCCAGCCCTTGAGCACTCTGACTCACAGGACATATCTCCTCAATTTTTCTCCCATTATTTAAGTATAAACTGTTCATAAGATAGAGAAGCAATGACCATGTTGAATCTACTCTTCACCCTTTTTTTAAACAAAATTGTTTAAGGATTTCCTGTGGGTCAGACGGGCTGCAAAAGCCCTCAAAGAAGGAAGCCTAGATTATGTACAAGCTTTTATTATGTGTCTGGCCTGATACACCAACAGACGGAAACATCAGTGTGCTTCAGTGCTAGCTCTCATGTCAGGCACAGATCACCTCGCTCCAAATACAAATCACCTAAAAAAAAAAAATCACTTAGAATGAATTTAATCTATAAACCATAGCATGAAAGTCCTACCCAACACACAGCACGAAATATAATACATAGAGCTAAGGGGACTACTATGCACCTATAAAAATATAAAGGACCTGGGGTTACAGCAAACAAGATAAACTGAGACTAAATCAGATTAAACGGTTCAAATAAACTTGCCCTCTTTATTAGGAATTTTTCATTCTCTGACCTTTGAGGCTATTTAAATCGTTTTTCTGATCACATCAGGAAATAAGACAGTAGAGCCTTCTACACATTGTAAGCATTACAATAACATACATATATTAGAAAAAAACAACTTATTTGAAAACAAGTTCTTCACTGCTCCCAAGAGAAAGAGCCTTCCAAACAGTCTAAATAAATATGAAATTATCTAGACTTAAGAAGCACTTCATAAATGAAAAAACACATTTGTGACTGAAGTTTTTTGCTGTTACTTAAACTGTCATGAATGGAAGAATGTTTTAACCCACACTTCTGCAATAAAACCAAAGCAAAACCCCAGCACCCTCCACCCCTCTAGAAGGCAACATCAAACCTTCGTTTTTGTCATGCACACATGAAATTGCCACCTGTAGTACATAAAAAGTTGTACAGACACTTGTGGTAAGCAAAGTTTCTGTTTTTAATTGCTTACCTCTAACAAGTAAAACAATGAAAAATTGTGATTTAAATCTCATGAAGCAGTGCTGCATTGCAGATGAAATTAGAAGCAAATGAAAATCTGAAAAAAGGGACACTTTTACTTTTTATCGTCCCTTCTTATCAACAATTCAACTAATATTTTTACTAAATTTCTAGAAGGAAGAAATCAGCCTAAGAAGATATACATGATAAACAATACTCTCAAAATATTACAGTGCAACATTAATATATATAAAATGGAGTTTACTTATTTTATAAATAAATTACTCTGAAATCTTCTAGTAAACACAATAAAAGTAGTTTCTTTCACTGAAATTTGAGGGACCCGGACTTTGAATAAAGAAATTTTAAAAGAAAAAATATCTTTTGAAAGATTAATAATCAAAATGATCAGTACAAGAATGAAAATATCAAAAATAATACAATTTCTTCCTTTCAAAGGAAGAAAATGGAAAGAAAAGGAACACAGGGCTTTGAACAAACCTTGTGAATTAATTTTTTATGTGCCGAAGAAGATACTTAGCAGATGCTGAGAAATTCCTTTCCAGTCCTGCTTCACATTAAGTAACTTCAAAAATAACCAACATCTTAACCTAAGTCCCTATTAAAATACATTTAGAAGTTTAAAGAAACTTGCTTTATTGCTTCTGTGTTTGCATATCCCGTACATACACAACTGGTGTGATGGTAATAATATGAGAATAGAAATGAAAAAACATTCATAGATCACCTGAATGACATCTAAAAGCACAGTGCCCCAACCATGGGTAAATCCTCAGTTTCTTCATTTCTCTTCCCTATTTCAGAGCCTAAAGACAAAGTCTGGAAATAAAATCTCATTCTAAATCAACTGGCAGTTTCCCTGAAGTCCATTACCAATAAGTTAGTTCATCTGTTATTAAAAAATCAATCTAATTAATCTAAAGGATAAGGTTACACCAGAAGGCAATTAGACACCTTTGCTAATAGCAGTCCTATTCTCTCTCCCTGAACTGTCAAAGCATTCAAAAGAATATTTTCTTCTCTCTCTGTGCTTGGTAGCTTACAGTGATATAAAGCAGCTGTTGAGGAGCAGTAGCAAGCACTACAACACCCAGAGAAGACACATACAGCCACAACATTTTCACACACAATATGGCTTTATGAGTTAAACCTAATGGTCAGTCCACAAATTAAACAGTTTCCTTCAAAGTAAGTCTGAAGTCCTATTCCCATGAGCATTATTAGTATAGAGTTGTTATTCAAGATGAAAGTCTTTACATATTTTAAAAATCACATTTGGAAAAGATGAAAGCTCATTTTGCACTGTGGTTGTTTATTTTCCCAGACCTGAATTGGTGTGGCCTCTTTTTAGCAGAGGAGAAATTGCCATTACCATACTAAAGCAAGAAATAGTTACCCAATGCTAATATAAGAGCAGATGCTGTGTGAGGCAGTTGTCACTAGGAACCAGCAAATTGGACCTTCTTAATTGCTGATTTGAAAAGCTAAGAATAGGTGCTATTTCAGTGTACACAATTCCTCCAGACATGTTTAAACCTTTTTAAACTGTAAAGTTTATAGATGGATAGTACTGATGCCTTTTACATGCTAAAATAATTTATATTTGTTTTTAAATCACTTCTCAGTTGCCCTTTATAATGAACACAATAATTGGCTCTCTTAGGGCTCTGGCAATAAGAGCACAAATTTCCTTAGGAGAGCAGCAAACCTAACAAAGGGTAAAACTTTTCTAACAAAGACATTTCGACTATTTCACTCTGCAACCTGCCAATTTGTCTTATTAATCTTCTCAGTTTGCTCACAAAGATTCAACTTGGTTTTGATACAAGCTAGTGAAGACTGGCTCTGGCCTGAGGGGGACCAAAAATAAGAGAGCATGGAACACTTCTGTTTAATTTGAGAATTGCGTTTAATAAAAATTGTTTTCAAAGTGCTTCTAGTTAAAACTGCAGACAGGTTCAATCAAATAAGCAGCAGTAATGCCAGGCCAGGAGGCTGGAGAGCCACCAGCTGTCAGCCCAGCAAACCTGGGTCTGTGCCAAGCAGATATACGAAGGCAGCCCTGGGCATGCTTGGCTTTTGGGTGCAGGGAGTTCCACCTTTTATACTGGCAGCAGTGAGGCTCATGAAGAAATGACAGAACTGCCAGGCCCTGAAGAGGAGTCATTGCATGGCCTTGAGCACCACTGCCAAAGCACACCAGGGGCCCTAGGGTCACTTGGCCTCCCTGTCCAGACACGGAGTATGAAGGACACGGCAGAGCCACTGAACGGAACAGCTGGAGCTCGCAGGGAATGGAAACACTTTCACTGGCAAATGAAACACTTTCACTGGCAAATGCTTTAAGCTTCAAGTAGGTGAGCCTGCAACTTGAACTTGCAGGAACTGCCTGAGTGTTTTCACTGAGGTCACAAAACACACATATCCTCACCACCGATAAATCAAGAAATAGACAGTGTATCAAAGTTCAAAAGAAATTCAGTAGGACAGGAAACCAAACTAAAATACTGGCTATTTGTACTATTTAGCAGCCATCTGTAAACAACAAAGATGCCTAACTAGTGTACTCGATTGAACGTCAGCAAATTCTTCATGACTTAATTCTACAGATATTGTGATTGTGCTTCCTTATTGGTGACTTTGGTACACTCCCTTCATGTTTCTAATTAGGACTTTGAAACAAGAACAGACACTGTACTTCTCTGGCACACAACTGGAGGAGACATCCCTTAACCTCTGGAATGCTGAAAGACCATTCCCAAAATCCTTCCCAGGTTTCACACACTGTTCTGAGCAACAGGACCCTGGCAACAGAATCAGGATTAAATTAGGCATACAGTGCAGACAACTAGTAAAGCTAATAACCCAAATAATTTCTTGTTGAATCCTGCCAATTTAAGGTGCTCTCTAATAATCTCAGGTATGAATGAGAAGCTTGAAGGAATCAATCTTCCAGGAAGATATGGCCTGAGGAGTCAACTCCACTTCACCATCCCTCACAGCTACCCAGAGTTAAGGTCACCCTACTTATCCTGCATGCAAGTACAGTACCCAGAGTTCCTCCATATCATCCAGCCTCATTCCACAGCTCAAAAGAGCAACTGTACTTCGGCTATAGCAAAAGACAACATAGGGATACCCATTTGTGCTAAGTTTGCAGAGGGCACACATACGATAAAAATGCATCTATTTGATTCTTAACAATTATTTCATTAGGGTGAAGGTTATGTGGCAAGTAATGAGCCACAGACATCTCCCAAGCATCCACAAAGTGCACAGCAATTCCTGAGAACATTTTCCTCATGACAGAATCAAGCTGAAAGGAATACCAGTCACTGTTGAAGAGGCTCACTTCTGGCCCAAGCTCCTGAACATTGGCGGTTCTGATGACGATCACAGTCTTGGGGCTGCGGTCCAGCAGCTGAACAATGGCTCTGCGGATGTTCCTGAGCCGCCGGATGTACACTTCCACGGGGAAGGTGCTGAAGTGGGACCATATGGTTATTGCTACGACAGTGTTCCTGCCGCCCACGATGCTGTTGAGCTCGTTGGCGATGTAGCGCAGCTCGCTGCTGAACACCGTGGAGAAGCGGATGGGTGGCCCGTGGCAGCGGAACTTCAGCAGGATGTTGTGCTTCAGGTCCACAGACATGAAAGGGCCCACGTTCTTAGGGCTCCCCAGGTTAAATTCCACTAGATCTGAAAGCCCAGGAGCAAGTGTTAGTGAAACACGGCACAAGAGCTTCAAACTGTCAACAAGGTGCTTGGACCACAGGGCAGAGCAGGAGTAGATAAGCAAATCTGAACATATTTCAGAGAACTCTAAAAGTAAACAGAAGATGAGCAGCATTTTTCAAAGTGGCGTTTATGGGTGTTGAAATCTGCAGGACAGCACATTTGGATTTCATAAGGCTGTCAATGCATTTTCCAAGTTTTCTGAACTATTTCCTTCTCTCTTGTAAAAAGACTAATTTTCCAAATAGTCATTGTTACTCTCTGAATCCAGGGTTCACAAGAACCCTTCTAGCAATTTTAGGACTCCATTAAATTTAAAGACTACTTCAAATTGTAGGAATTAAGGCAGCTCAAAGAGTGTATTCCAACACAATTGGAGTGCTTCAGGGGAAAGGGATGAAGGAGGCAGGAATATTAAATTGTCTACTGAAATTCTTCTATTTAAGTAACTCGAATAAGGAAAAGGGCCCCAAAATCTATAAACAGCAATGGAGGCAGTTTGCTACTTCATTCCAAAATCTCTTCTGTGACTGGGGTGCTGCAAGGCCTTAGGGAGGCAACCCAAGTGACTTCCTGCCACGCCTCCCGGGGCAGCCACCTTAACTCACAACCACAGCAGTCCTGTTACAAGGACAACTTTGCAGATACCTGGTGGCCCCATTTACAAGACTTACTTACATGTTTGCAGTGTCTGTTCTGTCAGCCTGACTGCCTGCCAGGGCTTCTGATGAGGTTTTGTCTTTCCTCTTCCTTTGTTTTGTCACTGACACTCAGTAAAACCAGCTCTGTGTCTGAGATGTGAAAAACAAGGCTTTGTAAAGGTCCTTAAGGACAAAGCTAAACAACAAAGAATTACCTGGAACAAATGCTGTCAAATATTCAAACCACTGCCGTATTGTAGAGTCTCCAAACAAGTGGATTACTTTTCCTTGTAAGCACTCAGTTATATCATCTGATTTGCTAAAATTATGGATCCAATGTGTTCTGGACCTCCACTGGTCTTCATAATAATAACCAGAAGGGGAAACTGTGGGATCTTCAGCTCTGTCCATACTGCTTGATTCTGGAAAAGAAGAATCCTTTGTAATTAACATGCAACCAAAGCAGCCGCCATAAGCTTCATGGACTTCAGTGACTGCTGACAAGAGCCGGGAGGCCGATTATAGTTTAACTTGGTTTAAACTAAACGGTATCTCTGCGGCTAATGTAAAAACCTATCTGACACCTTTCTCCCTGCGCTGGGAGTGCTCAGCGATGGGTGTTTGCCGGGCAGAGAGGAGCGGAGGCAGGGACACCAGCGGAGCATCTGTCCCATCGCTCCCGGCGCGCTCCCGCCGTGCCGCGGCGCACTGCTGCCCTCCAGCGGCCGGCCTGCGCACGGCAGCGCCGCTCGCGGGGACAACGACCCCGCGGGGACAGCGCCCGGAGAAACGTACCAAAAACCCAAAACGGACCCACTAAAACCCCCAAACAGATCAAAAGTACCCCCAGAAAACTACTGCTATGGAATAACACATACACCGGCACTCTAGAAGAGTAAAGTCTGAGCCATAAGGCCTCCAAATCCAGAAAATGCCAGAATTAAACCTATGACCAAAAATGTTGTATGTGCCGTTTGAATACGATAATCACAAGAGTCTCTAATTCTATGGATTTCGTACTTTCTCTCTGTTATCTATACCCCTCCCCATTTGCTGCCTGGGACAGGCAGCCCCCTGAGGAGCAACTACACACCAGGGAAGCTCTGTTCCATAGGAGCCCTTTTTAACTTGCAGAAGTTGAGCAATACCTTGCAAGAAAAAGCATCGGGATTACAGGAGATTACAGGAAGAGAAGCTGCAATGTCATGGCATTATATCAACCAAATATTGCCATATTTCTCTTAGTAACCAGGGTGATTTTGGTACATCAAAGTTCCATGAGATCGTTTCAGGTTTCTTATTTTCCATTTGCATATTCAAATACCTCAGCTGAACAAGCAAGGAGATCTTCCCTGGCACAAACACCAGCTACATGGACCAGACACTTTCAGCTGTTTAAACATTTCTACTCACCTTGGTGTGGAGACTGCTAAGAACAGTCCATGCCCTGTCATGACTTACAGCTGTTTGATCAAGCACACCTTGCCATGGCCAAAATCATGCCAGGGACTGTTTGAATTATGTAAAAGTACAAGCACTGGAATTCCAGGGCCTAAAAGCATCCTCTGGTAGATGCTTCATTATAATACAGATAGAGCCAACCATAAGCATCTTTCCTAATAAGCATTTTTAATTGCTTATTCTATTCAATATCCTCTGCATGTTGTATTAGTAAATGTTAACCTTAGAAGTTAGAGGATGTAAACCTCCTTAGACCTCACAGGGACACTGTAAAAAGCAAATTATAATTACATTTGTACAACACAAATAATATAATCACAATTACCACAGAACAAAGCCATCAGAAAATTCTATCTCTGGATGATTCTTTAAATCTGACAGCAGGAACAAAGAAGAAAAAGAAAACCCCAGATAATAATGTGGACCCATCTGATATTCATAAACAGGAGAAAAGAAAAAAAAAGCCTTCACATGGTCATGCAGTTAAAGTCTAATTCATAATGTGAATTCACAACTTGAGTTTGTTTGATTCTAAGTTTTGATACAAAAGCAATACAATTTTTTACATTTTAGATGGATTCTTATATATATGTAACAGTGGTACTAGAACAACTTTTTGGTGCCTCACAGTAGATCAGTATTTCAGGTCTGTGTATAGTATCATACCAGTTTTGGCCCAGTATTCAGAATTGGCCCTTACTTTGAGATTTTATAAAAGAGAATAAAAACTCCAATCTGAGGTTAAAAACCAAGGATAGAAATAAAAACTTGTATTTCAGAAAAAAAAAAGGTTTTAAAAGTTGATTTACATATACCACCACAGAGAAAAACATGTACAAAAAGAACAGCAGAAGAGTGAGTTTGTGTGTACCATCAGTCCTAACAAATCCATACATTCATGAGCATTATACCAATGAGTTCAGTTTCATTAATTCAGAGACTGCTGTACTTTGAATGAATTTCCCTGAGGAAATACTCTACTCCTATCAACCCTTTTTAACCCAGCATTAATCCTCAGGACATTGTAAGCAGGCTTTGATCATTCATAGCTCCTGGAAGAAGAGTGACAATTAAATTTTGAATTTGCAGCAGTTTCTGTCGGGAAATATATACAAGATAAACAAAGCAACAAAACCACACCAGGTAAAGGATCTGGACAAAGAAAAGAGATGGAGGGTAAAATGCTGCAAGCCTAGTAGCAGAACTCTATTTTTTTAGTGAACAGCAAAACTAAAAGCAAGAAATACTTTGTCTTCTGTTCAGACTTTATTGCTCACATCAGTAACTCTACACTTTAAAAGTCTCCTAAAACCTTATGAAAACAAATAAGGAAAGTTCTCATTTAAGAAATAATTCTCTGTGTATCACATTTTGTGCAGACTTTTTAGAAGCATAAAAAGCTTACATTTGGATATGAATGAGATAAAACCTCTGAGTTTATTTTAATATAGATTGTCTTTGTTCTGTTCTTAGAAAGGGCACAGAACAATTATGTTCTGGTCCAGAACAGTAGGTTCTGACATCCTGTAGTAACACAAATTATGGCAATATTTGAATGCAAGTTATCAAAATGTTAGACAACATTCTTAACAAAGAAAGTAATTAAGAAACACCACACAACTAATCTAACGTTTTCATTAGATTGAGAGTTTGGCAAGCAGTTACTCTAAGACATTTTACAGTGTAAGTAAATGCTAGGGGAAATAAAAGACATTTTTGGCAAGAGAACAAACTTCGCTCTTCTTTTGATTTCTTTTTTTGCTAAAAATCCCGTTTATGTATGCAATTTTATAAAACATTTTTCATTATTCCTGAACTTGTATCACAGTTAACACCCAAAAGCCTTCATAGTCTCAACAGAGATCTGATACTGATTTTTATGCCATGCTATAAAAATAAACGAATTATTATTTGATGCCTGTTGTTCTTTTAAGAAATTTAACTATGAATTACAAACAAGGATCTTATACAGTTCACTTTACCTGTAAATGCCTTGGGCTTTACAATGACTGAATCTGGTCCACTGGAGAGTATTGGCCTCTTGATATTCACGTCACTTGAACAAAAAATGAAAACAGCAATATTTGTAAAAGTTACTGTGAAAGTTGAAGGCAATATTAATCTCTTTTTTTTCTTAATTACACTTAAAATAAACACACAGTACCATGAATTTTTACTCTAAGTTTACCCTACTTCCTATAGCTGAATTCGTTCCACATTTACTTTGAGACCACCATCACTATTCTGAATCTAAATTCAAAATTTCATGGCACTGACAAATCTTGTGCATACTTGTACCGACACAAATCTCTGTAAAGCAATCAAGCTGTCAGAGGTCTGCAGGAAGCTTTTGGGGATTTGCCCCAAAGATGTTCCCAGCTTGGAGAACATGTGAGGACAAACTACTGCAAGGGTACAGGGCTGCAGCAGCAGCTCCCAACTGATTAATACTAAGGTCTTGTTCTGTCTTTTGCTACTGTTTTGAAGAGAATCATTGTTTATTTTTTTTTCTCCATTTAAGAAATAAATTATTTGGAATTTCTATAATCCAGTTTGGTCAAGGATCTTCAAGCATCTTCAAGCTGAATGAAACAAACAAACAATCAAAACAAAACCAAGAAAAGCACCTTTCCCATTCCCATATGGAAACATCACCAATAAATATAAGCCATATTTTACAGGTGGACTGGCGGAGACACACAAAGTCAAAAGACCCATATACAAACTTGATATGGAAGAGCGAAGAAAAAATTCCACTCATGCTTACTTGTTATTTCTGGTCTTGGTCATGAACATGCACACAAACTTTCCTAAATTAGAGTATTTGGAGCTGCTACTCTAAAATCTTTCCCAATTTAGGCCTCAAGTGTCAAAGTGCCAAAATACTTTCCTACAGTATCTTTGCTGGAGAGCAAGGCAGTAGCCTACAACTCTGACACTACACAAGAACTAACTTTATCTAAATTCAGCTGTGTAATTTAATACAGAAGCAGTTTTGTCACACGTACCCAGGTACTAAAAGATGGTTTGGGTTTTTTTTTTAATGCTGAATGTACAAATAAAATATGACTGTGAAACTAATTTAGTTTGACACTTGAAATAACATGCACAGATAATTTCCACTTGCATTGGTATTGCTCAGCAATTTGTTCTACCAGGTGTTTTCTTAATGAAAACTGTTTCTAAGATTTGAAAGTCATATTGAGCAACAAGGAACACATTTAAGATAATTTTTGATTAGGACAATAACAATTGGTAATTTCTGTAAAAATAAGCCTAAAACCCTCACCCTTTTTAGGTAGTTTAGATTTGGCCAAAAATACTTCTCAAAGCATTGCTATTGGTATTGCAAATATAGGTATGGAAAGAGAAAATAAGGAAACAGTCCCTCAAACCACTGCCAGATTTAGACAGGATACTCTTGTGAAATTCAGTAGGGTTTAACTCAAAGCACAGAAAGAGAACTACATGCTGAGTTTCTTTAAGATTGCTGTCTAAGATTCTTGCACAGCTGAATGGAGGGGAACAGACTATTCAACAACTAACACCAAACACCTGGTCCTGCAGATACACTCCTCCTCTAAGGTAAGGTGTCATATTTAAGCAATAGGCTAAAGTTTGTATACAAAAAAGCCCAAACAAAACAACTTGACTGAATATATATAAATTCAACAACATACAAACCTTTGGAAAAAGAGGCTTTCCTCCTGTGTCAGAAGACCCTTCAGATATCCACCTTTAGCATGGCTGATTCGGCTGGCACAGGACAGTTTTCGAGGCTTGTAACAGAACCATGGCTCACCCGTGTAGAGATCTGTGAAGTTACAGACTGGGATACCTCCAGGCAAGCAAACGTTGCACTCTGTAGTTTCTGAATACCTCCCAGACTTGAATGAGCTTTTGAAATAAACTCTGTCCGGCCTTTCCTCTCGTAAACGCCGGAGGACTTGGATTGCTTCACTGGGATGGACAAGGGACACAGAGACTTTGACCTCTCCTGGCCAAAGCAAGGTAAAGAAGACTTTGTAAAGGCCATTGTGGCAATCTACAATCCTTCCTGCTGCTCCAGCTTTTAGCCCAGGAGAGTGAATTCGTGCCTGTAAATAGTCTCCACCATACTGCTTGGGTTTTCCTTGGAAATCCTTCATACGAACGAGTACCTCCAACTGATCACCCACCTTGAAGAACCTGCTGGGTTTCACAATCAAAAAGTCACTGTGTGTGGGATCAGTGCTTTGTGCAAAGGCGATTTTGCCATCAGGGGGCTTTGGCCACTGTATTGCAGCAAGCAACGATTCCTGCTCCACTTGCTCCCTTTTGGACAAGATCTGCTGCGCGTACCCACAGTAAGGCTTCCTGGTAGTTTTGGTTGTCTGTGACAGAAAATGCTGGACATTGTTTTCTGTTATCCAATTCGATCCTGAAACTGTGTCATCATCCAGGTTCTGGGGAGAAAAAGATTACCTGAAGCTGTGCTATGAAATGAAACACTGAATAACGGATTTGGTCAGCTTTCTGAAGCTGACCAAATGAAGCAACTTCACTAGAAGACCCAAATCTATTCAATTGATAATGGGGTTTCTAAGGAAACAGGTGGGCAACCTGTGGTTACCCTGCTTTGGCAAACAAGCATTTCAAGAGATCACATCCAATGTATGTCAGTGCTTCAGCTACCAGTACACTCTCTAAATATCATCAGTGTGGAAAAAAATGGCTAAAAGCTGGATGATTAAGTTATAACTGATGTTTTCTTTTCTTCAGCAGCAACATTTTAGTCTTGGAGCAGCACGAGGTCTAATAGCTGTCCCTTGTAATGCAAGGAAATAGGGTTTCTTTGAGATGTTATACTGCAGGTTAAGCTGATGCACCCCCTGCACATGCCTTCCAGAGAAGTCTGCTGCATGTAGCAGCTGCAGTCATTTATCTGGTCACAGTCACATCACTTCTTGGCTAATTATCTGAAATGCATGTTTCCCTGTAATGCGCACACTGAAAGAAATAAAGGAACAAAAGCCCAGATCCTTCCGGGACAATGAATTTATGAGCCAGTTGACAAGCAGAATAGTACAGGACAAGCTAGGGCTAAACAGACAAAAATCCTGCTTGTTTATTTATAAGATTTTAGAATCTATATACAGCTGCTTCTAGCACCAAATGAAACAGCAAGTGAAGCATCCCCTAATCCACACAAGAGTTTAAAAACTAAAATAGTTAAATACAAAACTAGACTAAGAGAACTTAGTCTAGTTGAAAAACTTGAAAAAACTCTATTTTGTGCAAAAATATTAGTGTCCAAAACTGTATTTTCATGCAAATGACTGCAAATACCATATTCTTTATGACATCACATAATTTTGCAGGTTTGCATTAGGAAAAATTTTAAAATAGCACAGTCTAAGACTCCAGAGGTACCCATGAGACTTCTAATCAGCAAATCAAAAAATACCCTTCAACTACACACAAAATCAGCAGTTAATGAGTAATTAATTACCAGGTGTGTATATAGTAGCACTTACCCATAATTCTATTTCATAAAGAAGGAAAATAGTTTGTCAAGCAAAGATTAAAATTATGCAGTGTACCACTCACATAGCACCAGATGATATGCTAGTTTAGATTTGAAACATTGCTAAAAAATTCAAACTACATTATTTGAAATCTTTAAAACTATCATCATACTTACCAATACGTCAGTATTTCCCATTTACCTCCTCCATAACTAATTGCTCAGTCGTGTACTAAAAGTCCCAGCACTCATATTAAACCCTTATTCATTGTTATAGATCTTTCTTAGGCCATGGAAATAGCAGTGTCTTAAAATCATTTGAACCACACTGAGATTCAACATACTTTTTCAGAAGCAAGGTAAACCTAACAAGCAATAGAAACACCTAGGCTTTGGTTTTGATCAGCTTTAGTGTCAGAGGATGAGCACATGAGGATGTAGTGTGGATACACAAAATCTTTTTTGTTAGATATGCAAGTTAACTATGAAACCTGAAACTGTAAGTTGCTACACAGTAGCTCTAAAACATAAATTGACACACACCCATCTATACACCAGATGTTAACATCACAATAGAAGCTTTTGCTTCTGTTTCATATTCCCACCCAGGATTTAATAATTTTTCCCTGAAGGCCATCTGAGATAATTCATAATCATGTTTGTTTTCTATCACAGCAAGCCAAGCTGCAGATGTATGCTGCACATTACTTTTATTAGTCCAGTAAATTTCAGCCAAAGCTGAGAGTAAATCTCAGGCACAGTTCTACTTTAAATCTTGCCTACATGCATTCTTGAATTAAGCCAAGTTTCTATTTTTGGATACCTTCACAACTTCTTTCCTTGCTTGCTCATGCATAAATATATATATATATAAAACACAGAAAACACTGCATGGAAATACTTCTAAAAGTTAGGTATATATTTTGATGCATCCAATAAGCCAGTAACAATGTCTCGGCAAAAATATTTACAAGTTTTCCTAAAGAGGGGTGAAAAGGGAGAGTATGTGTGTACAATTAATTGTTGTTTTCAGTGTAAGTTCCCAGGAGAAAGTTTCTAGTTTTCAGTTGGTTCTGCAACGGTTGGTACTTTGGGTTAGGAGACATGGGAAAAACAAATCCTTTCAAATTAAGAAGAGATGATTGTCTAAGACAGCTTGAAAACTGACCTATCCCCATTTTTAATCTTCTATAAATTTCCTCAGCGTTTTTAACCCAGTCTTTCTGTCAAAGATGCAGAAGATGCCATTTCTGGCCTAGTTAGGCTTTCTGAAGTCTTTCAAGGGACATACCTATTTCTTTCAGTGGGAAAGGGTGCAGAGAACACCAAGCCAATAAACTCATTCAGAAAACAGAACATGGTTTGATGTCTCCAAATTAGTCCACCTACACATATTTTTAGCAGAGCATAAGGCCAAAGCTCTTCACTTGTATGCAGCTGAGAACAAGCACAAACACTGTCACTTCAACATCTCCAGGTCATGTCCCACTAAGCAGAATAAATCATAGCACAAATATTTCCTCAGTCTATCTTCAAAGGGCCTGAGGGGGAAGCTCCATGAAGGTAAAAGCAGAGGTCCTTCAACATCCTGAAGGATGATTCTTTCTCCAGCATCACTGTTCATCTTTACAGCCCTCTTTCAAGCCCAACCAGGACCATGTACGGTTGCAGAATTATAAGCTTATATCTGAAAATAACCTATACCATATATTCTATTCACGGGAGAAAATATTGCAGAGATTCTCTTTGCCAGTAAAGGCTCAAAAAGCTTCAGAGTCAATTAATACACCAAAGATCCTTGACTGGAATAGAAAAGCTTTCCAAACCATCTTCCTTTCTTAAGTGTTTCCCAGGCTCAGCTCCAAACAAGTACTTAAGTTCTCTTGCCCCTACGGATAGACAAGACCTGCCCTGAGGTAAAAAATTAGCTTAGTTTGTCCCCACTCCATTTCCTACTCCCTCTTGGTATTTCCAAATCTCTCTGGCTCCTTTATGTTGTCATACCAAGGCTGTGCAGAACTGAGGGCTTTCTACTGCAGTAAGTAGTCAAAAATAAATAAAATTCCTTTATGAAAAGCAGATAAAGAGGATTTCTCAAGTGTGCTCTTCCTTTATGACACACAGATTCTTTTAGTGCTCATTACAGGCTCCATGTTGGATAACACCTGCTTTGGTTATTTCCATGTATACTCCATTCAAGGTGTCATGGATTTTAAGTGCAATTCCCAAGGGACTTTGTTTGTTTGTTGGGTTTGAGGGTTTTTTGTTTGTGTGGGAGGAGTTTTCTTGCTTTGTTGGGCTTTTTTCTATCATTATTTTTTTTTATTTACTGCATTTTGAAGCTAAGCAGAACTCAAATGTGACCACAAAGTAATTTAATGGCTATTTGCCAAATTACAGAGGCAGGACAGAAGAGACTGCATGTCAGTTAAGCACAAATAAATCCACTAGCAGTTCCTGCATTAGAGATGTCATAAAAAATAAAAAAAAGAAGATGTATTTTTATGAGAACTAATGGAAGTTTCAGTTCATCTCCTCAGCTTTTGACATTCTCACAGCCAACTAAGCAAAAATTAGATCCAACATACAGATTAACCCAGGCAATAATGCTCTCATATTCTAGAAGGGTCATAGAGTACTTGGGAAGATTTGCAATGAACACCTGTCCTCAGTTAAATACCTCAATGTAGGTGGCTGATGAAAACATTGAGTATTTCCATTGCTGCTGGAAAGGGGGAACTCCATCTCAAAGCCCAGTATCTTCCAGCAGCTGTTAACTCCTGCCTTGGCCTGATACATCGTGAACAGCTGCTGCAAACCTGCAGAAGTCACTGTCACTAGAGTAGGAAACAATACAGGAGGTTCTCAGGCACAGTGAGGAAATGAAAGATCCAGGAGACAACACCTGAATCTGAACAAATACCAATTCTTGAAAGGTCAGTCATCTTATTTTCAGTAATTTTACACTTCAGGTACTTTGTTGTCTATGACAGATATAAAATCATTTCTCTATCTTTACCATCTCACAGCACTGAGTGGCTGCTAAACAACTCTAAGTGTCAAAGCCAATCCTCAAAAGCCATCACCTGACAGTCAAATGTTCCAGAAATAATTAAAATAAGATAAAGTTATCTTTTGTAGGCACCTGCAATTTAGCAGCAAGAATTTAAAACTTCATTACGCCGTTCTTTTGTTCAGTTTCAGCTGTCTGATTTCATATGCTGTCCTGGCAAGAAACTTCCTTTCTACCCATAGACGCTTTCTTCTAATTGCTTTCAAATAAAATAGTGCTCACAACCAATGCCCAAGTGGTTCTGTCACTCTAAAGGCCACTTGTACATATACACAAACCCTCCTGCATCCTGAAAGCATGATATTTGGGCAACTTCCTGATACTTCACAAAAAATTACTGTACATTTTTTCTGTCGGGCTATATTCACAGAAAAAAATTATAATAAAAAACCCCACATTTTTTTCTGGTGCTATATGATCAATTATGGGACATCAAGGGAACAGTTATTCAATACTGAAAAGCAAAGTAAATAATAAGCTGGCTACCAAACGTTTTGTGGACAGCTTGGTTGGTTGGTTTTTTGGGTTTTTTTAAACACTAGATAAGGAAAGTAAATTTCTGACATGGATATGACTACTGGGAGGGTGTCATTAGTAATTTAGGAAAATAAGAGGAAATATTCCAACATGAAAAATTATAATATCCTAAAGCAAAAATGAAGAGAGACAGCTGACAATTGCCTTAGATCTTGAGCTTTAGCCAGCTAGGTTGGATGATTTGGGGATGAGAAGTATGTCTGATGCACTTACAAACACATTCTCAACAGTAACCAACAATAAGCTCTCCTTCCAGAGTCTGAACAGATTTGGTTACAGATATTCTGTGAAAGCTTTATAAGATTTTTTTCTGGCTTTGATCTCTGACTGAAAAGAATCAGCATAAATGCCTATATTAGACTGCCTGGAAAACTGAGCCAAGACAAAAATACAGGAGCAGGTCCATTCAGAAAAATCATGACAACAGAAGGGATTAGAGTTGCATGTTACTATGTAAAAATTTACCAGCAAAACAGCACTTAACTGAATTTAGAATAGCAGATATGTAAAGGGCAACAATACCACAAGGACGCTGATCATGGACAGTGGCAAGAAAACGCACAGAGTGAACACCCAACCTGCATTTTCCATTTCACTCTCAAAATACTGCCAGAGCCCTTTTCTCTAAGAAATGGAATTTTAAAATAGAAAGAAAACAGTTTAAGATTCTAAGTATCAACACTTCTCAGGCAATACCCTAGGTCAAAACCCAAAACAAAATAAAACCACAGAAAGAGAAAACAAAAGCTGCCTCCTGTGAACAAAATAGATCATACTAACTTGAACCAAAGGTCCATCAAACACAATATTTTGATTGCCAATAGTTTCTAACAGCAAGTATGTGGAAAACAGACCAAACGTGTTGTGCTATTTTCTCCTGTAGATTTAATACACTTTCTAGCTCTTTTAGAGCTAGATTTAGATTTCTTAAACACTAAGGTAAACATCTTCAAGATCTAGTATCCCCTAATGGATTTTTCTTCTGTGCATTCATCCAGATTTTTTTAATATATGCATTTAGTAACTACAAAGACTTACTGCAAGGGCTTCTGCAGCTTTGCTACAATCCATAAAAAAATATCCCTGCTTCCTTTAAAATTAGCATCTGCAGTTTTTATTTAATGTGTCCACTAGTACTGGAATATGTAATTAATGCTCATTCTTCATTTATTGATCCTGAGTCTCCTGTGATTTAAGTCTTCTCAAACATCTTCACTACCCTTATGTGATCTTCTGATTCAATTGTATTTTGTGCGAGGTGAGGTGGTTTTACAGCCCCTCTTTTGGATCACTTCATTTGGGCATCCCTAGCCAGGAGGAAGGAAGGTTCTGCAAGCAGCATATACACAACTTAAAAGCATAAAGCAATTACCGACTGGCTGACATGCACAAAGGACAGCTATAATTTAACAAGGTGTTAGGCTAAGCACTACGATGCTCATGCACCAAATGCAGCACTGGAAGGCCTGGCCAGGCAGGCAGCCAGTGGGCAGGATCAGCCTCCAGGGCTCCCTCAGACAGATCCTCATCTACCTTGACTTCAATCTGGGGCTGCTGACTAAGCAGTTTGAAAGTACCTCTGCACTGAAGTGATAAACAAAATTAAGAAATATGCAAGAACAGACACAGTAGAGGGAAAAAGGGAAAGGCAAATAAAAATTGCATCAGTATAGGCCGGAGATGAACAAGCTAGTAACTGCTCTGCAGAAAAAGACCTAGAGATTCCAAAAGACAGCAAACTCACCATGTGTCAGCAGCACAGCATTATGGCAAGGAATTAACATGATCCTAACCATTTGATTGAGCAAAGTTATAGTTGTCCTCAACTTGACCATGGTGAAGTCATACCTAGAACGCTGTGTCTGGTTTTTGTGTCTGGCCCATGCCAGAGTAAAGCTGGCAAGACCAGCTAAAAACCCCTGAGACGAATAGGGAACTGGAATGACAGCAAGGGAACCAAAGCATCTTTTTTTAAATGTGGAGAAGACCAGAAGAGGATTTAATGGCAGTCTTTCACTACCTATCAGGGAGTCACAGAGGAACTGGAGTTAAAGTACACTCTAACAGGAAAAGAGGCAACTTCCTGTTGCACATATGGCAAACATTCTTCCCGCTAAGAAGGATGCAGCACTGCAACAGCCTAGGTAGGTTGTGAAATATGAGTGTCCTTGAATAGTATAAAAAGTCAAAATATCCTGTTGCAATCCAAGCTAATTCTGATGCCAGCCTTTTGAGGAGGGTGTTGGATTAAATACCTCCAGACATGCCTTCAACTCTCAATTTTCTGAGATTCCAATATATAGCTAAATGCTGTCAGTCAGACAATTCTAACCTTACTTGCTCAAGCCATCTTGGAGAAGAAACAGGCTCCACTTACCTCTAATTGAAAAAAATTATGGACCAGCACCACAACAGCCAGCACTGCCATAAGCAGGCAGAAGAGCTGCAGCCTGAATGAGTCACGCCACATGGTCCATTCGTGTCTCCCCCTCCCATGTTAGACACTGCCATGACTTCCATTCACCACAAACAGGAACATCATTTAGTCTCAGCAGAGCACGAGAGGTTTCAGTTGACTTCCACTTCATTCCTGCAAAGGCATTTACAAGAACTGTATTAAGTCCCAAAAAGTTACTAGAAGTAAAGTCAAGTTTTACACTGAAAGCTTACAAATGGTGGGGCAATAACTAGTACAACAGAACAGTCAACACAGATTCTTTTTTGTGGAACTAATCTGAACACGTTATCTATCATGCTACAAAATCCTCTTGCATGTGCCAAAGCAAACCCTTATCATAAAGATGGTCTCACTTGTGGTTGATACAAAAAAACCCCAAAAAACAAAACAAAAAACAAACAAACAAAAAACCCCCAAAAAAACAACAACAACAAAAAAAAAACCCACCAAAAAACCCAAAACAAAACAAAACAAAACAAAAAAAAAAGCAAAGGCAAAAGAAGAGTGCAAGATTTCATTCTGGCAATCAAAAAGACCAAAAAAACCATCACTCTATTTATCTGTTAGGCCACACCACCACCATGAAGATATTATGAAACCAAAACAGAAATTTGTGGGTTTAGACATTTCTCATTTACCTATTTACACATTCCAATAAGTTGTTATTAAACACTGATATCTGAAACAAAATTGTATAAGCAAGGTAAAACTTCATCTGGTTTTCTGCTTGAGAAGAGGGGAAAACTAAATCAACTGTAGCATTAAAGAGGACATACCTAAGAGATTTGAAAGCACTAAAATTTAACTTTGTGCATCACCAATAACATTACATCTTCCCTGTTTTGCTTTTTTATCATTCCTTTTATCTCAGGTACTCATATACAGCTCTAAAAATAAAAAATTAACGTCTGTGAAGAATACAATGTGTTGGGGTTCGGTGTTTCTGGTTCTTTAAATCTAATAGTAGTAGTCTTTCATGAACTTTAACTTTCATATAATGTTCCTTTAAGATTGCTTGATGGCTGATCTGCTACCAAATAACAGATTTAACAGCCACTGATAAAGTTCTCAATGCTTGCTCAGAGTGACTCCTAAACGTTCCTTTCTTTCTGAGAAGGACAATTTTGATGCAGTCTTTTTGCAAGAGCTCTTGCAGAAGCTCTAAACTTGGAAACAGAAAACAGATGGCAAGGAGAGACAGTCAAAAGACACCAATCTCTCCAAAACAAATATTCTCAAAGCAGTGTTACTCATACAACCATGCACCAAGTGCAACAACATAGTCAAATGATTATATAAACTCTGTATAACTTTCTATAAATAGCATAACTGAGAATTTATACAATTAAGATAATATAAAAACACAGCACCTATAGTTTTAAGACTATATGTAAAATGCTGTGTAAATTTATATAAAACATAATGGTACATTAAATATCAAAATTAAAAGGTTATTTATCAAATGAACACAGGCAAGAAAATAATGAAACACATTACTGATATAACCAGGACAGCCTCAAAATACACCACACATCAAATTGCTGTACAAGGATTATAGGGATTATAACTTCAAATGCTTTGCTGAGAATTACAGAGATTGTATTTCTGACCAATGAACTAGCATTGAAAGAGCAAGACAACCATTAAAGTATCAAAATGCCACAAAAATGTAGCTTTGTTGGAACAGTTCTGCACTAATATGAAATTTGCATAAAACAGGAAGTTGGGTCGTAAATTGAAAATAAATATACCTCAGTTCAAGAAAATGCTAATTTAAGGACATATATGCCCAACTGAGGAAGAAAAACAAACACATTAGACAAAACCAGAATTTTCAATTCTATTGCTGAGATTTCTTTCCACAGCACTGGAAAGCACGACACTGAAAATTAATAGAATGTAATTTCAGCTGCCTAAAAAGACCACAAACGCTGTTCCATGTATTTTTATTCAGAATTTTCTGTATTTTGTAGATGTCACATGCCCTAAAACCTTTAAATGAACATGTTTAGAGCTTTCTTTAAGCTGAAGGCTTATTATTGAGACAGTTTCGTCACAACTGATGAATAGTTGATTCCATTCATTTTTTTATAAGCCTGTAAGTACACCAAAAAGCCTTAGGCCTTACCCTGCTCCTGAAATGTTCTCTGAAGCCCTCCACACAAAAGGACAGGTAATCTTGGAAACAATACATTTAAAAAAATATATAGAAACACACACAAGTATTTTTTAATAAAATTCATACGTTGGTGGTTTACTTACAGTAAATAAAATGGCAGTTACAACTTTTTACCTGTAAAACCACTTTAGCGTCTACAATGACCCAAGGATTTTGTTGAAGTATTTTATTCTTTTAAACTTCAATGCTGTGCCTTTGAATTTTCTGCTATTTATTGCTTTATTATTCTGCTATTGTATCACTTCTCTCACCTTTGTTTCATGTTACCACATACTCTATTTTACCCAATGTTAAAAACCGATTTAATGACATTTTTATGAACATCTCATTAAATTATGTCTCATGCTCCATTACAGGATTTTTGCTTTGGGTTTTTTCACAAGTTGTCAATTACTGTCAGCTCTCAATCCCCACAGTTCTCTAACCCAGCAGCGCTACAAAAGCAGGTATGAGTGCAGCCTCTCCAAATTCTGTTACGCAAATCGCAAAGGCACAGAGGAGCCGCTACCTCTGGCGATGCACAAACCGTGTCACTGGGGCACAGAGGCTCGAGGCTTGATGTTCTCGTGGCTGCCAGCACGGAAAATCAGATTTGCTGCTGTTTTTCGCAGATTCTCGAGGCTGGCAGCCCTCCAGTCCGCTGACATCCCGGGGGCAGCGCCACAGCCCCCGAGGCGCTCCCCACCGGGGATCATGGCACCGGACACGCACCACGAGCGGGGTCAGCCAGCAGGAAGCATTGCTGCCGGCGATGCGAAAAGCACTGCTCCGTTTTATTGCTTCAAAGGTACTTATTAGGGTGCCGTGGGGTGGGCATCCCTGGGGAGCGGCACAAGGCAGCCCCAGGACCGGCAGGAAGCACCTTCAGCCGCCGCCCCGCTGAACCCCGAACGGCGCGGGCAGCGCGGCCCTGCGGGCGGGCGGACCCGGCCGCGGAGACGGGGGATCCGAGCAGGGCACCCGCCCACCCCGGGACCCCGCACCCGCCTCCCACCCCGGGCCTCCTGCAGCGGCCCCGGTCCCACCGCCGCCCCGCCAGGCTTTCCCCCCCGCTCCCAAGAGAAGCCGCGCAGGCCGCACCGCCCTCACGCCCTCGCCCCCTCACCGCAGCCCCCGGCGCTCCCCCGAGCTAGGAGGCGGCCTCGCCCCCGGCCCGGAGGCGCTGGCTGTAAATGCGCGGCTCCCGCCGCCCCTCCCTCCTGCCCGCCCGCCACAGAGCGGCGGCCGCCGCGCCTCCTCCCGCCCCGCCCCTATTACTGCTCTGCCGCAGCCTCTGTGCCGAGAAGGGGCAGCGGAAAGGAAAACAGACACAAAACCCAACCAAAATAACACCGTCCCTGTAATTTTTGAGCCACCGCAGGCGAAGCCTAAAAAAGCAGGATGTGGGGAGGGTGGCGCGGAGCCGGGCAGTATGGCCCGGGTAGCATCACCACGGTCCCCAGCCGCAGACAAGAGAAGGCTCTGACGCGAACTATCGAAGCTCAAACGCTGCCGAGCCTGAAAGCGAAGGGAGCAGCAGAGAAGGCGTCTTGGACAGAGAGAAGGTTGTGAAAGGAGAGTCTAGCCCCAGAGCAGCTGCTGGGGGCTGAGCGGGGCATACAGGCACGGCCTAGCACAGCAGAACTAGGCAAGCGCAGCTGCATTAAAGGCAGGACTTCAAGATGCCTGATGAGGACATGCACAGTCAGTGTTGAGCTTTGTACCCTGCACCAGAGCCCGGCGGCACTTTCAACCTGCAGGACATCTGCAGTTAGTTTTGTAAACACTTGTGAACACTGCCTAAGTTTGGGAATACCAAAACACTCATCTGCCAGCAGTTGCTTGGCCACATTGCCCTTCTCTCCCTTATCTGCAAAGAATAATCAATAAAACACAGTATATTTGTTAAGATATATGGGACTACTGAACCCATTCTTGCTTATAGGCAAGTGTTGAGGAATGTTTTGGTTTGCTCCCTGAGGCAAACTAAAGCAGATTCTGTGCTGAAGTATGGTGAGATTTAACAAACAATGTATTGGACAGTCTGTCAAGAGCACAACCTTCACTGTTCCCTTTCTATAGGCACCTTTGATCTGTCTTATTTTGCTACATTACCCTTGTGTACTTCTCCAATCTTTTTTCCCCTTCCACAGTCATCTGGGTCTTGTCATTCTGCAGTCCTTAGAACAGCAAGTTTCACTGTTATCTTGCACACAAGTTCTGCATGTCCTCTGGTTTCAGGCATAGCAACAATTAAAGTCTATTCAACCGTTGGAAAAAGTCTTTTGTTGACCTGGTGCTATCCAGATGGTTTTCGCATCATCCAATGCTTGTAAAGAAATAACTCTTTTGCTAGAGGAATCCTCTTGCAGCTTCCTCAAGCCGTTTTCCACAAGGTTGCAGAGAAGCTTTCCTATAGGCACCATCAGCCTTTCCATGAACCTGCCTCAAGCTGCATTCCCACTTCACGGACAGGCAGGAAGGAACACAGATTTCCAGTTCTTCCAGGTGGCTCTGCTCCCATTTGGTACCAAGCAAAACTCCTCCTGGTCTCCCTTTCTATTTCTCCACCAGACAATGGACATGGCCACAGCCATCTCAGCCATAGGCTGCCCAGAGTAGATCCCACCAGTTTAACACTGACACAGCTACACCAAATGAAGGAAAGCATCAGGCAGCTAGGAATATGAGAAAGCAGGTGAGAGAAAGGT